TTGTATTCTCCATACACTTATGATCTTAGCTTGGGGATTGGTCTGCCGTGTGTTACAGGTCTTTTTGATCCTTTGATCCAAGTTCAGGGCTAGATTCAGCTTGATCCCTTGAGGATCACTTTCTATTATCACTGATAACAGGTCGGTTGTCGATTCGTCGGTCCACGACTCAATTTCAACTCTCCCTCCACACTCAACCTAAAAGGCTTTAGCCCTGGTGATTTTGTTGTTTTATTAAGGTTTCACCCGAGTTTTTATTGAATGCCCATTTAACAGAGGTACTGAGTATTTATTTAAGGTTGGTTGGACATGAGGTTTGGGGCTTGCATGGCTCAAGCGAGGGGTATGAGTGTCGAAGGTGGTTGGGGCTGACTCCGTGTAGTGCGTGGGCTGTTGATTTGGTTCGTTGATGTGATTGCAGGCATGTGCTGTGAATCAGATTCTGGATTTGGTTGCCTACGATCACATATATACGTATTATTGTGAGAGACCCCAGTGAGACCATGAGAAGTGTTCGTCACATACTTAACCCTTATATATGTATACATGAATATACTTGGGATGAATGTTTGCATGGGTTGAAGAGTCCCCATACTAAAATCCTACTCAGAAGCTGAGGCCGAGGGGCTTAGGGGAGACCTCTCCTTCTATTTTGGTTCTTGTTTTTTTTTGATGATTTTTTTTAGTCGGACGTTTGGTCCTGGGTCGGGATTCGAGGTCCTTGTCCAGGACACCCCAAGCCCTAGGCTCTGCAGGGGAGGGGTTTTCCCTCGCGCAGAGCCTATTTGATTTGCCTACCGAGACACTCAGGCCGAGAGCCGGAGGTGCCGCGGCGGCTGCACGGCTATTCCTTCAGTCGTGCAATGTCGTGAAGGGTTAGGCCCCCACGACACTTCTAGTTTGACACTTGAGTGTCATAAGCGGTACTCGGATCCACGAGGGACCGCTTGATTATGGGTACTACATAGTACGCCATCATTTCGACTGCTTGCGTACGCTTGCATTGCGAATCGATATGAGTAGGCCCTGCGTCCGCGCGGTTTTATCCTAAGTCTCGCGCGCGACACCTATTCGATTTTCGCGTCGGAAAGTTATGGGACGGCTAGGAGCGTTGTCGCGTCGTTTATGTTGTGTCGTTTCGTACGTGTGCGTGTGTATGTTTTATTTTTGTGTTCGTAAAGTGGTGTGCGCGTGGTGTGTGGGATGCGTCCTAGTCGACCGATGACGGACCGCGCTTGGGACTTCAGCCCCCCAAGATGTCGGTTCGCATGCAGGACCGATAGAGGCGTATTACCGCGCGTACCCCCTATGCTACAACGAACGAGAAACGTCCTCGGCTGTTCACCTTTGCGATTGCAACTGATTAGCTTTCGTACTGTGGACTGGTGGCTCGGCGGGGATACGCCCACCGAAGGGAGGTGACAACTCCCGTAAGGTGTAGGTAAGTCGTGCCTCGTGTAGGCCCTATCCTGTCGTAGGGGCTCGCGAGAGGTATGGATGGCGCACTCGGCCAGAGGGGCTTAAGGAATCTCCACATGTATTGTCTGCGACGAAGGTTTTAAACCGACTCCTGCGTGGCGAGGCCGGGAGGTTCCCGCGCTGCCCTGGTGCGGTGCCGGACCGATGCGCTCGACAGGTGGCGCCGTTGCTGGGGATAATGGAAAGCCTACCGTTATCCGTGGTGGAACGACATCTGGGTATGAGAAGTGGATGAGAAAAGGCATAAAGGAAGGACGAGAAAGTGAGGAGAGATAATGAATGACTAAGTAGAGGTGAGAAAATTTACCTACCAGAAAGAGGGAAGGTATGAAGGACGAACGCGTAGCATTGGGTCAAAGTAAGTACTAAGGGTTAGGTAGGACGGATGGAATAGAGCGGTTAAGGTGTAATGCTGAATAAAGGGATGTGCTTGTTTTTCTCTTATCAGGGAGCTTGAAGAGAAAGGTCAGGCAAGATGTCGAAGGGCGGCGGCGCATCGGGTGCCCCCAAGAAGGGCTTGACGCTCGATGACCTCATAGCGGCTATTGACAGGCATGAAAGGAACCCGAGCAATATCCCTAAAGTCGATACCTTCCACTTTTGTGGGGAAAGAGTCTCGGAATGGCTGGAACGAGTGGAACAAGCTTTGGTCGGGCGGTCCGACGTGGTAAAGTTCCAACGCATTCTTCAGTATGTCCTCCACAGCTACCACCAGGAAGTGAAGAAAGTCATAGATGCGGCCTAAGGTAGCTAGGAGAGGTTCAAGGAGGGGATGAAAAGAAAATACCGCGTGGGAGACGGGCTATTGACTACCGCGGACCTTGAGGCGATGAACAAAGAGGATTTTACGACGATAGGGGCCTTTGTTCAAGAATTTAAGAAGAGGGCGCAGAAGGTCCATGGGATTTCGGAGGAAGCACAGTGTGCCATGTTCCTGGGGCTACTCACGGCATCTGAGGCCGTCGAGTTGACGAGGCATGGAGGAGGTAGCACCAAGCTCACCTGGGCCACCATTGATAGAGGGGTGAAAGTTGGGTGTTTGGACCAGGTAGAGCAACGTCAGGTACGCGTACAAAGGCAGAAGAGAAAGGAAAGAGATGCGACCGCTTCTGGGACCCCGGGAGTAACAAGGATTGTTACAGACGTATTGGCACAACTGGGGTATGCGACAGAGCCGGTGGTGCAAAGGAGGGTAGTAACGGCTGTCCAAGTAAAAGGAAAGGAGCCAGTGATAGAGGAGGCTGTTCAAGAGGAGCTCTGGGAAGAGGAAGAACCGGTGCTGCAGCGCCTGACGAAGGCCCAGTGCAAAGTGCGTAACTTGGCGCAGGGCGGACAGGGATCAGGAAAAGCGGAGGCGCCTCAAGCCTTGACAACAACCCCTTTAAATGTGGCGGCTCCATCATCTAGTACGGGCCCCTCGCAAGGAGGGGCGCCCTCCTACGGACAATGGTCCTGGCCGATGATCAATGCAATCGTACCATGGGGTAGCCTGCCACCAGTAGCCGGACCGCAAACGAGTATGCCGCCGCCCATCTACCTCGCAGCCCAGGCCCAGCCTGTGGCCCCGCCGCCGTCACCTGCTCCCAGTTCACAGGGCAGTGTGGCGGGAGGTGAGAACCAGGTGCAGGGCAAAGGCAACGGAGGGAGGGGTGGAGGAAGGGGGCGAGGCAGGAATGGCGGCGGAAGAGGAAGGCAATGAAATTGTCAAGGCCAGGGGTACTAGGGCCAAGGGAATCAAGGCTAGGGGTACTAAGGCCAAGGGAATCAAGGCCAGGGATACCAAGGCCAAGGGTACCAAGGCCAAGGGTATCAAGGCCAGGGGGATCAGGGAAGTCTGGGGTATGGAAGACCCCGTTTTGACTGGAGGACAGCCATCTACCAACATCGTGACCAACAAGGCCACACTATAAGGTTCTGTAATATAAGACGGGAAGACGAGAGGAGCGGGCTGATTTCCTCCACTATGGATGGGAACATCTACGATCAGTTTGGGGAATCCATTGCCAGAAGGCTTGGAGGAGTGAGGGCGGAAGCCCAACGAAGGGCGGCAGCTAGACCGCCACCCCCTGCCATGTTCAGGCTTTGGCAGGAGAAGAAAGGACCGTCGGTGGGGATAGAGGAATTCAGGTTATGGCAGGAAAAGGAAGAACCACCGATTGGGGTAGAGGATGTGGGAAGCGATGAGGAAGTGACTCAAGGGCCACGAGGAGGAAGTAAGGGGGAAGAGCCCATTATCATTAAGTCAGATGACGAATGCGAGGAAGAAAGGATGAAACTTCCATTCGTCTTGTTGGGGAAAGTGGAGGACCTTCTGGATGAGATGGGGAGGTATCAACAGAAGTTGGTGGGCCTCTGTGAGGAAGTAAGGAAATGGAAGTCTAGCATCCCCAAGGTGTTCCTCTACGACTCCGGTCCGGAGTCAGCGCCCGGGCGACCCGGAGTAAATGTGGTGGGATCGTGCCCGCCATCAGGGATGATGGGGAGACCCCTCACTCCGCAGGCCCGACTGGCGTAGGCAGCACGAACAAGAAATCAAGCCAGAGCCAGCGCCAGCCAAGAACCTCCGAGGAGGGAGCAGGAGCCAGGAAAAAGAAAGGAGGTTGTGGAAGTGGAGGATGACGACAATAAGGAGGAAGAGGATGAGAGGCTGCGCAGGGAGGAGGATCAAAGAGCGGAGCAGCGGGCAAGGAAAAAGGGAGCCAGGGGAAAAGCCGAGCTGGTCATACGCGACGGGCCGTCCAAAAGAAAGAAGTATGCGGTTCGATTGGAGGAGGGGTTTGACGTGGAGAAAGTGATCGACCGGCTGCTGGAAGGGCATAATGACCTCATGACCCTGAAGGAAATCCTAGTGTCGGCCCCGCGACTCCGCGATGAACTGAAGGGGAGGTTGTCGTGGCGCTTGGTGCCCAACGTCCATCTGGGCACGATTCTGCCCAAAGAGGCAGAGTGGGCGGAGTCAGGCACAAAGATGGATTGGAAGTGCGTGGCCTGCGGCACGGTGGATTTCGTGGTAAAAGACTCCAAGTGTGCAGCAATGGTGGACACCGGGGCGGAAATGAACATCATCCGGGAGGCGGACGCGATCAGATTCGGGCTGGATATAGACCGTTCTGACTGCAGTATTCTGCACGGAGCCAGCCGCAAGGCCGTATTTTGTGGGACAACCTCGAATGTACTCATCGAGGTTGGAAAGATGAAGACACGGGCTTGCTTCTTCATCATGCCGGACGTGGATCACGACTCCTCCTAGGGAGGTCATTCCTAAGCAGGACGGAGACCGTGATATTCAATAAGCATGACGGGACGTTAATCCTCCTCTTATGCGATCCTGCCTGCGGGAATTACGAGATAATTACCTGCAGGAACACAGGGCGAAGGAGTATAAGGAACCGGCCCAATTCAGGATCATTCACGATTGAAGAGTCGGAAGGTGAGCGCCGGAGGCTTCGGGCAAAGCCCGAAGCAGGAGAGAGAGTGGAAACATTTTCCCTCAGCCTGTCAGATGTTGGGAAGGCCATGGACTTGGTGGCCGCGCATGAGATGGCAGACCCGGATGCCATCCAGGCCTTGAGGGAGCAAGTTCTGGAATGCCTTGAGGCAGGAAGGTTGGAGTTGGTATATCGGCTCCCAGGCAGCGGAGAGCACCCCGCATCAGCGCAAACACAATCTATGAGTTGGCCTTTTTTAGGGGACGGCTCAAGCAAGGTTCCCAAAGGCGGTACAAGACGGTAGACAAGAAGTGCCGCTCGGTTCTCATTCTCGTTACAGAAGACGAGGAAGCATATTATGAGAGGGAACGAGGGTTGATACGGCGAATGAGGGAAAGTGCTTTAGCAGGGCCATGTCGTATCAACGAAGGGAACGAGGAGGAGTTGATCATAGGGGAGTCCGACTTCCTGCTGCCTCAGGAGCGAACGTTGATGGTGGAACTAATGAAGAGGAGGCATCGCGCCTATGCGTTTAGCGACGAGGAGCGTGGCAGGCTGGATGTGGACAAGATACATATGATCCGCATCCACACCATGTCACACGAGCCGTGGAACATGAGAGGGGTGCGATATCCTAATCCTGACGAGGAAAAGAAGGTGGTGGACTACCTCGACGGCAAGATAAGTACACACGTCACTGACTATTCTAGTGGACCGTATGCATCCCCGTGGTTTTACTTCATTAAGCCTAACGGGACGCTGCAATGGGTGCAAGATCTGCAAAGGTTAAATGCGGTGACCGTGCGGGATGCTGGAGGACTGCCAAATGCGGATGCTTTGTCGGAATCCTGTGCTGGAAGACCTATAATTTCGCTTATAGACCTTTACTCAGGATATGATCAGTTTCCGGTCTACCTGCCGGATAGGCCAGTGACGGCTATGCATACGCGGCAAGGATTAATCCACATGAACGTGGTCCCTCAAGGGTGGACCAACGCGGTAGCAATGGTCCAACGGGCCATGATTCGGGTTATGCAGGCAGTCAGCCCCCATATCACACAGCCATATATCGACGATTTGGCAGTGAAGGGGCCGACAGTAAAGGAGAGCGACGAAGTCTCGCCAGGAGTAAGGCGCTTTGTTTGGGAGCACATCCAGGACCTCGAAAAAGTCCTGAGCCTGCTCGAGTTGCATAACCTCACGGCAAGTGGGGCCAAATCCAGACACTGCATGAGGGAAGCGACCATTTTGGGATTCGTCTGCAGCGAGAAGGTCCGAAGGCCGGATGTGAAGAAGACGGACAAGATTACTGAGTGGCCTGTTCCGTTCCACTCAATAACTGATGTCAGAAGCTTCCTTAGTACGTGTGGATTATGGAGGGCCTTCGTCAAGAACTTTGTCGCTAAAACTGAACACCTGAGGAAGTTAGTCCGTCGAGATTAGGAATGGGTATGGGGTGAAGAACAGGAAGAGGTGGTGGCTAGGATGAAGGAGGAATTTCGAGAAGGAGGGTTGGTGCTAGGAGCACCAGATTATGATGTCACGGAAACACGACCCTTCATTATTGAAACAGATGCGGGGCCGACTGCCTTAGGGGGAGTTCTAATTCAAGCGGACATGGAGAGAAAAGAAAGACCCCTGCGTTTTGAGAGCCGGACCCTCTGTACGACCGAGAGGAACTACTCTCAGTTCAAGAGGGAGACCCTTGCTGTCCTCCACTGTCTGCGAATCTTCCGGAACTACATCTTCGGCAGGAGGTTTATTTTGAGAGTGAATCCGACCCCCCTGGCTTACTCTTTAAGGAATTACGTTCCATTGGATCCGACGGTTCCCAGATGGCTGACGTACATCTGGATTTTTAATTTCGAATTGGAACGGATTCCTGGTAGTAAGAACCGGGCGGAAGGGCTGAGTCAGATCAACTGGGATAAACAGGAAGGGGAGGCGGTGGAGAATACGCCCCCAGTTGATGTATTTCTGGATCAGAAAGAAGATGTTCGTCTCCACATCAAGAAGTGGTCGCCGCGAGTGCCCAGATGTGTAGGCTATCCTATCTGGCAAGCGCCGAATGGGTATGAAAGGAGGGTCGAGCTAGTCCTTAAACCCTTTGAAGAAGAGGATCCTTGGGGTGGTAAAGATGTTCAGTGGATGATGGAGTTAGCGCTGGCCAGCTCACATAGCCTGGTGGAGGATATGAGGACGATTGAGGAAGGGCCTGGCCAAGTAGAACGGCATGAGGACCTAATGGAAAAAATGTATCTCCTCGTCAACATATTATTGCAGGAAGGCCTCGACTAGTCAGGCTCGTTGAACCCGACAAGGAATGTGGACGAAGTGCCTAAGAGCCAGGACGACGAGTTCGAGGAGGGGGAGATTAAGGAGGCTTTTTGTGCAGAGGAGTACGACGGGATCTACCTAGAGCTGGGGCTTCTTCTTTCATGTGAAATGCGGCTTAGGGATGCAAGCGATAGAGCTCAGAGGATGCTGTAGCGTTATTTAGTACGAGACGGCCACCTTTTCGTGAGAAGGGAAGTGGGGAATCCCAGGTGAATCGTCTGCGGTAGGAATCATCAGATTGACGTCGTAGCAGCGCTTCATGATGGTATTGCAGGAGGACATCGAGGGGTACAAGCCACGTATGCCAAGATAAGTGAGTTATACTACTGGGATGGGATGATGGACATGGTCGGGAAATTCTGCCGATCTTGTGTACCTTGCCAGGAGAGATCCCGTTTAAGGCAAGGAGAGCCGTTGCATCCAAGGCTAGAGCGAGAGGTGGGGGCTGTAGTGCACCTCGATCTACTTTTTATGCCGCTTGGGGATCAAGGCTATAACTATATCTTCGATGCGCGCGATAACCTGTCTGGCTTCGTAGACGGGCGTGCTATTCGCACCAAGACCGGGTTAGTATTAGTGAGCTGCATCGAGGAATATTACCTGCGTTATCCTTTCGTCAGGGAATTCGTAATGGACAGGGGATCAGAGTTTACCTGCCAGGAGGTGCAAGAACTGTTATCAAGGTATGGTGTGGCAGCCAACTACACCACGGCCGCGCACCCCCAGGCAAATGCTCCCGTGGAACGAGGACATAGTACCATTACGAGTCTCCTGGCTAAGTGGACCGAAGATAGGCCTAATCAATGGCCAAGGTACCTAAGGGCGGCGTTTTTTGTCGAGAACATTAAAGTAAAAAGATCCACCAAGTTCGCACCGGCGACGTTGTGGTACGGAAGGCACGCCACCTTCCCTATCGAGAGCTTTCTTAAGACATGGAGGCGCCAGGATCTGGAAGTTAACCTGTCATTTGAAGAGTTGCTCGATATTCGGGCGCGACAGATAGGGGCGATAGAAAAAAGGATCCAGGAGGCGTCTGATCAGGTGGCGAGAAGCAGTATGGATGATAAGGCTCGATGGGATCAGTCCGCGCGGGTGAGGAAAGTACCCTTGGTGGTTGGGGATGTCGTGCTTCTCTACGATTCATCGCTAGAAAAGCAGTGGTCCAGGAAACTCGATAAGAGGTGGTTAGGTCCCTACCGGATCGTACGGGTTTGAGACTTTGGAGCATACCAGATTGAAGAGCTAAATGAGACTGAGTGGAAGGATTGGGTATCTGGAACGCGACTGAAGAAATTTGTGGCGATAAAAGAGGTAAGAGAGATGACCTGACTGCCTTTAGAATAGAAGTAGCAGGGTGTGTAGGTTAGGTAGGATGCATGCTGTATGAGTGTGGTCTGGTCTGGGCTTGCTTTGATTATCACCTGTTTGCTTACCCCAATGTGTGCCTGTTGTCGCCTTCGCCTGTTGTGCAGGTCTGACTTTACAAAGACAGCCATGCCAAGAGGAGGGAAGGGGACACGGCCGCCTCAGAGGCCGTTGGGAGCATTAAGAGGATATGAGCGGCATGGGCCTCACCATAGAGAGAGTACTCCGATGTACGACGATGGGGACATCGAGCTATTCCTGGACAGCTTTTCGGATCATGCGAGGCGTATGGGCTGGACCGTGGCTCAGGCGATTGAGAGATTGAGGGGAGCAGGCAGGTTCAAGGAGCCCATTACCAGGATTCGTAGGGAGGCGACGACGAGGCAGGAGGTGGAGACGAGGATGCAGGAGCTGCGACCTTCGCCTGTGGAACCAGATGGCAGGCCGATCCGCCTAGAGATCGTAAATGCGGCAGATTTTATTCCTGCCTTCGAGTGGTTCATGCAGGGGCAAGGTATTCCGAGAGATGAGTGGGCGAGGACGTTACCCCTCTGGACCAGAAAGGCGGAGAGGGCACTGGTTACGCAGGTCAGGGACATGGCCCGGGACTGGGAGAGCTGCAGGGCACATCTGAGAGAGGCCTTTCGACGACCATAGCCCCCTCAGCCCAGAGTCGAGAGTTGTCAGAGGAGTCAGAGGCAGAGGGACCCTGAGCCCAGGGAGGCGAGACCGTCTCGAGGAGGACGGAAGGCCCTAGCCAGGACAGAGGAGGAACCGGAGCCGGAGCCAAACGCTGAGGAGCGAGGGGCATACCCTGTGTGTGGTTTGGGACCAGTGGAGTTCCATCGGTTTACCGAGGGTGGATTGAGGAGGTCGCCAGCGCGCACGTAGGAGGAGCCGCCCGCATCTGAGGGGCACTTGAGGGAATTGGAGATGCATTTGGATATCTCCCGGTGGAGGGCGTCGCCTCGGGGTGAGGAGTATGGAGAGCAAACGGAGGAGGTACCACGAGAGGAGGTGTCACAAGAGGACGTGCCACAGAAGGAGATACCACGAGAGGAGGTGCCACGAGAGGAGGTCCAGGATACTCAGCGGGAGTGAGTGATGGGCGATGAGGGGAGGCGTGCAGGGAAGGAAGTGATAGAGGTTGGAGAGGACACGCCCCCACAGACGCCAGCGGTGGGTTTGAGACTCGGGGATGCGCCAGGGAGCACTCGCCAGGCGGGGGAGAGGTTGCAGAGAGAGGAGGCCCTATTACCTTCATCAAGAAAGGCTTTTCCGCCAGAAGATATGGCAGAAAGGAGGAGAGAAAGGGCAGCTGTAAGGAGAGAAACCTTGATCCTGATTGACAGACAGCTAACAGCTTATGCCCTGGAGCACCCAGACCTGGAGGAACCAGCACCTGCAGAGCCTCGTCAGGAGCCGTGCCAGCCCGAGAAGGAGATGGAGGCAAAGATCCCAAAGAGGGTCGACCTCCGCACGAGGGAAAGGGCGCCAGCTGGAGAGACGGCTGAAGAAAAGAGGGCGAGAAGAATCAGGCGGATAGATGAGATATGGCAAGAGATGCAGAGGTTGGAGGCAGCGGGGGAGCTTCCGGAGCAGCAACAGGAAAGGCAGAGATCGGAGGCAGCAGGAGCACTCCCAGGTCAGCCACCCAGCGCCCCAGCTAGGGCTCCGGAGATTCCAGAGATGTGGAGGGACTTCTGGGAGCGAAGAGGAGAGGAGCTTCCCTCGCCAGTCAGAGCCGGGTTTGGGGTGGCCAGGAAGGCGGAAGAGAGGTTAGATCGCAAAATCAAGTTCCTGGCCAAGACAACTTTTGACCGACACTTGTTATTGGAGAGTGATCTGGCAGGGAAGAAGATGAAGGAAGCAAGCCATGGAGTACGCCTGGAGGCTATGGAGGTGGAAATTCAGGAACTCGGGTTATTGGTAGCTAGTCAGGCAGCTATCATTGAGAGCCTGAGGCAGCAAATCCAGGGAAAGGTGGACAAGCCAGAGAGCAGCAGGCAGGGAGAGCAGAGGCAGCCAGGACGTGGATTACCGAGACAGTCATCTGCAGCAGAGCCTCGCCAGGAGCCACCTATGGGGAGAGTTATCCTGAAGCCAGAGGAGGCGAGAGCCCAGAGACAGGCGGAGAGAGAGGCGTTCGAGTTCAGAGCCCCTACCGAGCTCGCGACGCTGCCAGTAGCAGCGGTAGGCCTAGTCGTTGAGGAGGGGCTACCACCATCTTGCAGTGAGCCGGCTCAGGGCTCAACAGAAGGATCCATGGGCGTACTCCTTGAGGCGGTGCATACTGTGCAGGAGGAGGTGAGTTTGTTTTCACCTAAGCAGAGGATAGAGGAGCCTCTTGAGAGAGAAATAGGGATTGAGGCAGAGGGTGCCATCGAGAGCGGGCTCCAGAGGATGGGCACGCCTGAGTATGGGCCAGAGGAGATTGAGGAGCAGCTCATGACAGTGCCAGGAGAGATACTCGAGAGGAGACCTCAGAGGTTGGACACGCCTGAGTACTTCCCGGTGACAGGGGATTTGAGGAGTAGACTGGGATCTTGGGCTACTGGATCTGGGTCTGGGGGACCGGTTCCCGGGACAGAGCAGCAGGAGGTCGTTAGTACCGCAACTCCTCGATCAGAACATCAGGGGGTTGTCAGTACCTTGGTAGGATCTCCTTCATCGCCACCCCCTCAGCCCAGGAAGAAGAAGTTCAAGAGGAAGATTGATCAGCTATGCTTCGACTGCAAGAGGGGTGTGCATCTGACTCTGGACTGTCTCGAGTTCCTTGAGGATAAAGCAGCAGGGAAGGTCTCGGAGGTAGGGGGTAAGATGTATGATAGACAGGGTAGGATAGTAGAAAAGTTCGCAGATGGACTTAGGGCTCAGTTATATAGGCAAAACCAGGAGGAGTTGAGGAGGTAGGGCCGGTTTGTCTATAAAAGTGGGCGAATGTGTTGTGAGGCATCAGCTTAGGTTATGTGTGATACCCTCTTAGACATAGAAGACCTTTTTTTATGATTGCTACTAGACTAGATCTGAACTCTAGTGTTCCTACTGAGCTGGGATCTTGAGGATTGGGGTAATTTAGATGAGGCATGTACATATTCAGGTGGCCTACGCCCTGGCCTTTGAGAGACAGATCTGACATGTATTCTAGGGGTTGTTGTCAATATGGGTTTGGTGTAGCTTGAGTTGAGTGAGCTATGATTTTGAGACACTTTCTGTGTGAGACATTTTATTCCCTGAGTGTATATTATGATGAGGTTTTATTTCAGGGACCATTCTTATATGTGACGATCACTTGTCTCTCTCACATGTGTGGTTGTACTCTGATGAATGATGAGTTTGTGTGGACAATGTGTGAAAAACATCTTATGTGTCATGGGTACAGTGAATATGATTGTGAGCAAAACTGTCTACTCCTCGGTATACTTGTGTGACCTACCCACGGACAGCTGACAAGGCAGAGTATAAGGGGAGGAAGTGCAGTCCGCTTGTGAAAGGTTGTGAGGATTTTGAAGATTTATGAGTCCAGGAGGTTCAAAATGCTTACCATGTTGATTATTGATTGCTTAAGTTGTGATGAGGGCCCATGAGATGGTCTCTCGGTGATTTTGTTTATGATAATCCCCCTTGGATTTTGGAAAAGGGGATGTTTTGTGATGTTGTGTGTTATGATGAGACCCCCTCAAAATTTTGAGAAGGGAAAATTTGGTTTCATGGCGAGACCCCTCGTGATTTTTGGAAGAGGGGGTGTTTTGTTTTATGATGAGAGCCCCTTGGATTTTTGGAAAAAGGGATGTTTTTATTTTTGGAAGACTCACCTTCAAAGGTGAGTGAACTGATTTATGGCATGGTAAGTTGTCTTATGAGTGATAAAGTCTGACGAAGAGGGTCACTTTTGCTTGGAATATTTGAGAAAGTCGCAATGAGTTCAGGGCGAGAGACGTCTCAGGACGGGTGGCTGCTGACTCTGATCAAGTCAGGGGTCACGGCCTGGTGCACCTAGCGGTGATTTTGTTTGTGAGTGTGCGAAGGATGCCATGCCTATTGTGGAAGGGTTGGTACATGCCTTCGGACCCCTGCGTATCGCGCAGTGGCCCTGTGATGTTGTTTTGCGACGCCCCGTCTAACCACCTGTGCTAGTTCTGGGACACATTGAAGAAAGGTCAAGCTAACGGAAAAAAAATAAGTACCTCTAGGGCGTAACCCCATTGGATGGCTGCTAGCCGGCGCAACCTGGCTGCGGGACCGCGGGGTAAGAGTTTAAGGGGATTTGCCCACCCCAGTGAAATTACTCTGTGGGATAGTGATGATTGATAATTTTTGGGGGAATCCTGATTGAATGCTTATCAGGAGGAAACTTATCGTTGTGTAACCAACGAGGGGTACTGCCGTTAAATAACAATGCGGTGGGCCGTAGTCCTGGCCCGATCAGCCAGGCTATGGTGGACCAAGATGGAAACCTAACCTTTATGTACTAGACTGCAGAAAGAGCTGAGCGGATACTAAGTATTCGTATATGCTTATGGGGATTTGATTGCGAGGGATTGTTTTTTAGAAGGAAGGCGAGAGTGCCTTCAAAGGTCTCGGTTAAGGCCCGCGTCCCTAGTTTTGGCCTGGACTAGGGACACCCTACGAAAAGCCGAAGGTTGTCTAAGACCAGGGAGAGGACGATTGGGAAGGTCTTTGAAACTTATGCTGTCAGTGTCCTAATGTCAGGACGGTGAGAGGCCCAGGTTAGAAACTTGGCAGCATATAGTTTTGGAGGCATGGTTTGATGGAGGCCTCTACCCTGTGTTGGTCGGCTAATCGGATTGGCTCCTTTCTCGTCACCATTTGGAATGTGGATGGATTTATAGCCTTCTAATTTGGCGAAGCGACGGGGACGTCGCTTAATATGGTCCGGTAAGCTGTCGGCGCGAATACCCTTACAAGGGTATCCGCCCTGGTTTTTGCAGGTGACAAAAAATAAATATGATTCAAAATTTTTAAGTGTATCGCGCGAATCGCGGTAATCTTCGTTGTGTATGCGACTGGATGTTTGACTAGGATAAAATGTGTGTGGGCGCGCATGATTGAGGCGCACGTGATCTTTTTAATTGTTGATGACTGAAGAGTTGGCGTGATCGCCGACCGGATTATGTTTAATTATTTTCTGATTCATTTGGGATTAAATGTCTCACCGGTCGGCGTATTTGTCTGTGGCCTATGCATATGTGGGGAAACGACATTGACGACAAGGAGGCCTTGAAGTATTTTCAGTAGGCTGGCGCGTCGTGCCGCGTTCGTTTGTTTAGGCATCCGACAGAGCTAGACCCAGACTTGGGCCTAGCGCTATTAGTTACAACATCGGACTTTCATCAAAGAGATTCAGGGATCGAGACTGGGCGGTGACGACGCGGGGATATTAGAATAGTGCGAAGGGGCAGTGGGGTTGAGGGCCCGGTGGGGCTATCCCCCCCCTTTAGTTTTGCAGGCGACAACGTTGAAAAGGGGTTATTTATTATTTTTGCCATTATTATTTTCCTACGTGTCGGCATTTCTTTGACTTAGACGCGAAGCCGGATTTTAGTGGTCGCCACGGTAGTCGAGGACCTTGAGAACACGCCTCGTTTGACGGATCCGCGAGTTCGAGATGCCGGCGGGATCTTTTCCTTCATCCCGCCCGGCTTGTAGCGCGGACCGAGGAGTCCAACGTGCATAGGAGCCGGTAGATGATTAGCCCACAAGGTGGACGGGGTGGAGTGGCGCCCCCCCCCCCTTTTTTGTTTTTTTTTTTGCGGGTGCGTCGCCAGCCGTCCACGATCCGTTGTGAGAGGTTTGAGTGTGGGCATGCCAATGGGGCTTGTGAGGTGCGGGGCGGCTCCGGGGCAAAGGCGGTAGGGTGGTTGCAGGGAGGCCTCCCTCCGCCTTGGTTTTCAAAGTTTTCATTTGGATGTTTGTTACTACCACCTAGGTCTGCAACAGAGCCGATTCACCTACGGGCAGCGCCTTGGCACACATAATACCCGCACCCCGGCTCCGCGGCTGTTATGAGAGCCCTGAGTGGTAGGAAGATGAACGCACCCGGACGCAAAGTCGGGCCACATCCATTCGCGCACGCAAACGAGAGAGGGAAGGAGATGGTCGGTGGAAACAGAAGGATAGCGCGCCCGTTTCTCAGCGACAACGGGCGAATGAAGGGCCGATCCCGGGGTTCTGGCCCCGGGCGAATCCAATGGTATAGTTAGTTTCAGTAGAAAGTTAGTGGATTAGGTGTTAGTAGAAAAAGTGGGTGCGGGGAGATGGCGGAGGCCGGCTATGGCGTGAAGCGAGAGCTAGGAATCTCGCTCGTTTCTCWMTGAGATCGGGYGAAKGGAGGTGCTAGATTRGATCTTCTAGATATGACGAGTTGGATAGCATGGTTAGTTTTGTCAATGGAGAGTTGTGTGATGAGGTAGGAGAGACAAATGTTGCGTAGGGAGTGTCGGGGCGATGGTATAGAGGAGAAGAATGGCTTCTCGCCCAATTCGTGATGGAATCGAGCCGGGTAAGGTAGGAGTCAGGAGTGTTTCGGCGAGGTGAATTAGGCTATAGCGTTAGATTTGAAATTAGTGTGTTAGTGTTAGTGCCACAGGGACCGAAGGCTGCATTGTGCATGACGGGGAAAAGCTACGGGGAGAAGGTTGAGAAAAGGGGATGAACCTGGTCAGGCTTTGCGCCAGGYGCATCCAGATGTTGGATGGGGGTCTTGGGACGCAGCCAGCACGATACCGAGGTTAGTTCTTGCCTTAGACGGTTGGTTTAGAGGGGGGGCAAGTGTTAGTAGTTGCGTAGGGAGCACGAGGGGAGTAGGAAGAAAACGACGAGCTCGGCATGTATCTTCCCTTGCTGTACGGGGAGATTCATTTCTGGGCCAAGCCCTGAAAAGCAGCGGGTAGTGCCCGAGACCCTGAAAGGGGCGTGGGAAGGATTGCGAACTGGAAACTTACCTGCCGGGCGGGCCAGGAAGCTGCTCGCCGTATCAAACAAGGCAAGGAGGGAGGCAAGCCACAAGACTGCAGATCTGCCCGTTTGGCTGGCGTCGGTGAGGGGAAGCAAGGAGTAAGCCATGGGTTTGTGGGCTTACCTGTTGGCCGTGCGTTGCCCATCCTGTTGGAGAGAGGAGTGAGCCATAGGACCTGGCACTTACCTGAGGGTTGATATGCTCTATTGGACGGAGAGGCTGCAGGCAAACTGCTGGTGCAGACTGTGTTTCCCTCTCTTGCGTGACTCGTATGGATGTCGATTATCGACGATGTGACCGTCTTGCCTCCCTGACTGACGGGGCACGGCTGCGGGCACCTGTGTGTAGTCTGCTGCTGTGTTCAACTTGAACATAACAACAGACTGTGTACAGTTGGTCATCATGTCTTTTGGCCTACGCTTCTTAACTATTGGCCCGTAGCTGTGTACCGCTCCCGTTGCTGCGGGCGGGGGACTCAATCTACGCGTCCATGGACTGAGCATTGCGACAAGCCTAGCCAGGATTCTGCGGTGAGAGCCTGAACTCCGTGCTAACAAGTTCTCTGTTGTGTAGCTGCTGTATGTTGGGGCTCGGACTGCTAAGGCTGTCTACGAATTAGGAGTATAACTAATCTGCGGTGTATTTGGGCGCGACAAGGGGGGAATAAAGAAGGACTGTCCGGGGGCTATCCGTTACTGGGTTGTGCGGTTGGTGGGCTTAGTGGCCGATTGTGGGTTCTCAAGCACTGTGCGGACAATATTTTTGAGGACTTCGCGAAGTCACCTCTGATCCGACATGCAATGTATCGGCGACCTATCTAGGGGGAAGACAGCGTGACTTGGAGGAGTAGTCAAACTTGGTGAAGGGGGTCATTGCTGCGAATCGGAGGGTCGCCAGAGAGTCACCCTTAGACAGTTTGACTTCGGTTGACCCAGTTGCTGCGCATTCTGACCATCATTGCGGGGCCCTCAGACGCGTCAAGGAAACGAGG